AGTCTAGAACAATTTTCACAATTATATGTCAGAGAAATAGTTCGACTTCATGGGGTACCAACATCCATTATGTCTGACAAAGACCCCAGATTTACTTCAAAATTTTGGAGGAGTCTTCAGACAGCTATGGGAACTAAGTTATCTTTCAGTACAACATATCATCCTTAGACCGATGGATAGTCAGAACGAACTATACAAGTATTAGAAGATATCTTGAGGGCATGTATACTAGATTTGGGCGATAAATGGGAGAAACACTTGCCACTGGTGGAATTTGCATACAATAATAGCTTTCAAGCTACTATCGACGTGATTCCATATGAGGCATTGTATGGTCGAAGATGTCATTCACCAATATGTTGGGATGAGGTTGACGAGAAGAGAATTTTGGGTCCAGAACTTATTAAGAATACTGTAGAGGCGATAGATAGGATCAGAATGAGGATTAAGATATCTCAAGACCGCCAAAAGAGTTACGCAGATAAGAGAAGAAAAGAACTAGGATTTGAGGTGGGAGAAAAAGTATTTCTCAAAGTTGCCCCAACAAAAGGGATAGTATGATTTGGAAAGAAAGGAAAGCTAAAACCAAGATTTATCGGGCCATTTGAGATCCTCGAGAAGGTTGGAAATGTAGCATATCATTTGGCACTGCCACCGGAACTATCGGCAATGCATGATGTATTTCATATTTCTATGTTAAGGAAGTACATCCATGATCCAAGTCATGTGGTTAATGCTCAGTCGTTGGGAGTGTGGAGTGATATGACTTATGAAGAAGTACCTATAAGGGTTATAGAGAGAAAGGTACGCACATTGAGAAATCGAGAAGTGCCATTAGTCAAAGTCCAATGGAGTAGACATGGGAAGGATGAGGCTACATGGGAGAGAGAAGCAGATATTTTGGCCAAGTATCCAGACCTTCTTATTGAGTAAATTGAATTTTGAGGACAAAATTTTTTTTAAAGGGTGAGGATTGTAGCAACCTGAAACTTAATTTTTATCTTTTTCATCTTGTCATGTTTGGTCAAGTTGAGATACCGAGGAACTAAGTTAAAATAAATCGGGTTATATATATATATATATATATATATATATATATATATATTCGGTCAAATAACCAAGTATTCATCTAGCAAAAATTTTTGTATCAATATTGGCTTGTTTCAAAGCTCACATTAAATGACAATTTATGTGCTCGAGAAAAAGTTATTTCGATAAGTTAGGCCCATGATATTTAAGTTTAAAGAATCCATATGTTTAATTGAAGTTAACTAAGAAATTATTTGTTATTTTTGGTGGGGCAGCCACGTTATTCACTTGAACTGTTTTGAAATTGAATCTTGTTATTTGAATTGTAAAGAATGATAACTAGGATTAAGTTTATTAGTTATCAATTTGAAATTCCACATAAACCAATAAACAATTTAATAAGTAGTCTAAGAGTCCTAATTAAATTGGGGATCTAATTCTTGTAGGAGTCTTGTTCCCATCATTATTAGGAGTTTGGGATACTATAGAATTTGAGGTTCATGCCACTTTACCGAAATTTGATCAAATTATTATAGAAGATCATAGGCCAGCAGATTACTTTAAGTTAATTATTTTAGAGACTAAATTGGAAAGGATTTTTGTTCAACATAGATGCTTCACGTCATCACAAGTTAAGGTAGGATCACTACGTGCAATTGTCGTCACATGAATTTAATTCCCATTTTAATATGTTATTCTTTATGTTTTCATGAAGAATATAAAGTGCCATTAGAGTTTCCTTTTTAAATTTTGATGATGAAAGGTTATAGATGTTTAAACTGATGGCCGCAGAGGCTCATCAGAACATTAAGTATATATGTTAAACTGATGGTCGCAGAGGCTCATCAGAACTTTAGGTAGATCGTTTGATCATTGATTTACTTATTTATGAAGGCAACATGTTTATGTATGATTAAATGTATGAATATTAAGTTCATGTAGTACGTGTAGCCTACTGAGTATTTATTTGAGATGCTCACTCCTATTTAACCATTTTCAGATTAATCGGAGATCCGGCGACAGTTTGGCATGATTGGCATCTTTTATTTTTAGAGAAATTTATTTTATGTTTTAGATTTGCCACTTTTATGTTTATTATTCATTTGTGTCCCAGATGTTGTAGTTTGAATTCATGTTTTGAGACAAACAGTTTTTTTTTTTTTTTAAATGTTTGTTGTTTTTCCAGTTTCTGCTTCCAAGTTTAAAAATTCACCCAGACCTAAATACTTGGATTTTTTAGGTGATTCTAGTTGGAAAAGATAGCCTTATTCCCTCGGATTTGAAATCATGAATTTTGGATTTATAAAACTCGAGTTATGAATATTTTCCCAAGAGCTGTCAGATTGTACCCGGGAACAAATTTTCCCCGATTTAGAAAGAATTTCGACCAATCTATTGATTGAATTTATCTATGAAATTTTAACCTGTAATTCCCTTAATGTGTATAATGTCTACAGTTAAAATTTTGTAAATTTTGAACTTCATTTATGTGTCAAACGAGATTTATTTCAGAAAGTCGTACAAGCTGAAGTCAAAACTTTCCGCATGAAAATTTCCTTAAATTTTGTAACAAGTTCTTTAGAGCCTTAATGCTTTTATTTCAAGTTAAGCTACTACATTTTATGAACCACTAGGGAGAAAATTTATAAATTTAAGGTCTTTGTAATGTTATGAGTTCTCGGAGCTTGGGACGTTACAACGTCCGAGGGAAAAATCGTCCAACGTTCACTACATTGCTCAAAACTGAAATCCGAAAACACCATAGGGTTCTACTCATCTCCAGAAACATTCTGTTTGAAGACATCTTCGTCAGAATCCACCAGACGCGCCCTCACACGCCCTAACCGTAATCCCCACGCGTCGGCGAAGTGCGACCCTTCCAGCTTCTTCTCTGCCTGCACAATCCACTGGTGGTGTCCATTTTGCCACTCTTTTTGGTTTTACCAGAAAACGCAAAAATAGATCTATCCAGTTTTGCAAAAATCTGCCCAGATTTCGTCCAGTTTTCTGCCTGTTTTCCAGATTGATTTCTGGCCTCATCCAGCTCGAAACCCCAAAAATCACAAATTTAACAACAATGCAAGCTTTGATACCATTTGTAGCTAGAATTCCTCGATAAATCTTGAATTTTTGCTCAGAAAACAATCAAACGAACACCAGTTTACCTCGGCTCGACCTAAGACTTTTGCCTCTGCATTGGATTGCCCAAACTCTCTCAAACCCCACAAAAGGAGAAGGGATGGTGGTGGTAATAGGAAGGAGAAGAAGATGCAATA